ACTTCATTTTTACTTTTCTTTTTTAATCAGTGTTGCACATGTACATTTTTGCACTAATAATATAAGACCTCAGTATTGACAATTTCATCTATTCATCCATCTACCTTGCAGGTGTACCTTAAAGTGTCATTGTTGTGTAACTGTTTATAGAATCTATGTTCTCTTATGTTAAATGTATAATGCTTGATTTTATTGAGGGCTTGGGGAGTGTGCATCTGTCTGACATACTGTTAAATATACAAAGCTCTTATTTTTGCAGTTTCTATACATTCAAACATAAATTAAGTCTGTTATTCAGCCTCATAGATTTTTCTTTTGCTCTCTTTTAAATAACCAGCTTTTGACTTGTTGTCAACTAACTGTTGTTTGTGCTGGGCAGGTAGAAGCCTATACAGTGGCTTTACCTGAGCTGTTTTTTGCTTTATGTGCTGCTGATGAAAATAAAACCATTGGGTGAGATCACTTTGTGCCAGAACCTTCAAGGTGGCGGCTTTAACAAAATGAATACAATGAGCTGAGAGTTGCTAAAGGTCTCAGAATTTTGGAAAATTAGAGATAAGAGATAACTCTTTATTGTCATTGCACAGTCATACATAGTACAATGAAATTGGAAAACTGTCCTACGTCAGCACATGTAACACAACACGACACAACGCAACACAACACAACACAGTATAATAACTTAGTAATAAAAAAGAAGAATAAGTGTATTTGTATTGCACACTGTTATTATTGCACATTAATTATTGCACGTTGTTATAAATATAAATATTATTATTATTATTACTGTTTTTACTGTTGTTAAAGCCCCCCCAAAGAAAAAAAAACAAAAAAAACAAAAAAAAAAAAGAATGTCCAGGTAGGTAGCCAGTCAGGTCAGCTATTTGCATTGATCAGGGCTATTGCCCTGTTGTAAAAGCTGTCCTTTGTCAGGCGTTGTGTGGAGGCGAGGAGGAAGGAACCCAAACGCAGGACTCGCAGGTAGGTGAAGACTGGTGAAGGTTTATTATAAGGAGTGGATGAACAGAACAGAGGTAGAAAATGGCTGGCTGGACGACTGAAGGGCTTAAATACACAGACTGGTGATAATGAGAATGAGAGACCGGTGAGTACACAGCTGAACATAATGAACTAATGGGAAGAGGACTGAACATAATGCACACAGACCAAGGCTAACACAATAAAACAGGAAGTGGAACAGGCAGTAGATAAACAGTGAACAAGAACTGAAAATACTGGGTCACCGACCCAGGAACCCTGACATCCTTGAGTCTATTTGTTCGGGACCTCAGCAGCCTGAACCTCCTGCGAGACGGCAGCAGCTTAAACACCCGGTGTCCTCGGTGTGTACCGTCCCGTAGGATGCTGCGTGCCCTCTTGAGACAGTGAGTGCTGTACAGGTCCTTCAGGGAGGGAAGAGGATGTCCAATGATTTTTTGGGCCATATTGATGACCCTCTGGAGTGCCTTTCTCTGTGCTGTGAAGGCCGCCGGACCAGATGGGTTGCTGAAATGATGAAAAGAAGTAAAATAGATCAACAGAAAGCATCGTTTTTACAGCAGATTAAAGAAGCACACATATTTATAACAAATGGTTTCCATGTAAAGAGTAACAGCCAAAACGTCTTATATCTGATCAAAAATCAAAACAAAAACAAGCTCCCCATGCAGATATTTATGATTCCAATAACCATTATCTGTCATTTAGAACATTTTTGATCATTTTACTATTTGAAGGTTGGATGGATCAGGGTTTTTCAAACATTTTGTGCCCAAGGAACAACAATGGGCAAAAACCTGTAAGTAATCTGAGTTATTGTTAGTTCACTCTTTAATTACATATTATCGGTTTTGGCTGTTTTGACGACACGTTTTCAGCATCTGATCCAAGCAGCACAGCTACAATTTAGTTACTTCTAATTTTACCTTCTAGCTATCAACCAGGACTGTCTGTGAAAGTTGCTGGATAGATCCCTGGCTACTCTAGTCTGTGTGCCAGAGTACACTCAAAAAAATAATTCATTGGATGAACGTAATTTTATCTTGCCACTTATATTCCATCTAAACAAATCATGTTATATTAATCCATCTTGATTGTGTTGTGTCAACACGATATGTGTGTAGGTTTAACATAATATTAACATTAACATTCAATTAATTTGACTTTTGTTCAATCAACACGTTTGCACCACGTTAGTCTAATTAAATTTATTTAAATCCATCTTATATTGTTTAAACACTTTGGCACATCAAAAATCAGTCTTGTTACATGAACTAGTAAAATATTTGTTTGTTACACCAATGATAATCTTGTTGAATGAATGAAATGTAACTTATGTCTGTAGTACATGTTGTATTCATATTAAGTAATGTTCAACCAAAAAAAAATCTATGGATTTACAGCAACTTCCAATCCACCCATCTTCTTAGCTTTATCTGGGCTGCGGAAGTGATAGGGCAAGAGGGACAGGGTACATCCTGGACAGGTCGCCAGTCAATCATACAGAGACAAACAATCATTTGCACTTTAACACCTTTGGGCAATTTAGAATAACCAGTTACCCTTACAACTGCAACTGTGGAGGAAACCAGAGCACGCAGAGAGAACCCACTGCAAACTTCGCCACATTGTGGATTTGAACCCATGATCTTCTTGCTCTGAGGCAACAGCACGAACCACCATGGCATTAATCTGTCAATACAGACTTAACAAAAGTAGGAAAGCTATGCTTGATGACACTTTATGTTGTTGTTCTTGACAAGTTAAACCATAAGAAATAGTAACAGCATACACGTGGTGTGGTTGTCTTCCTCTTGTAACCCCACTGATTTTCCTGTGGTTTGACATCTAATGTGATCTTGTGAATTTCGTGAGTCGACTCACAAAAATGAAATTGGGTGGTTGTTACATGCATAAGATCCAAACTTGTAATTTGAACTAAATAATTCCATGTTTTTATGGTGAACGTAATTAAATCATGTAGCATCTGCATGAAATTCAGCAACTTAATTTGTTCTTGTTGAGATGACATCATACAATCTAGTAAGAGCGGTTAATTGCCTGGATCCAGCCACTCTTACTTAATTAAGTTGCTGAATTTCATGCAGATGCTACATGATTTAATTACGTTCACCATAGAAACATGGAATTATTTAGTTCAAATTACAAGTTTGGATCTTATGCATGTAACAACCACCCAATTTCATTTTTTTGAGTGTACCCTTGAGCAAGATACCGAATCCAGAGTTGCTCCTGATGCATTCATTAGAGTGTGAATGTTAGATATGCAGCACTGTAAAAGAACCTGTTTTGTTTGCTTTAATTTTATGGTTGATACAAAATCCCAAAACACACCCAGATTTGCATCAAAGCAGATTTGGTGAGCCTGGGGTCAGACCCATTTTTAAATATGTATTATGTAAAATTTTCAGCAGTAGGTGAGACAGTGTAGAAGGATTCTTCTCTGATTCTTATTTCGGCAATCAGTGTATTAGTCTTACTAGTATTACTTAGTCTTACTAATTCTCTACTGCATATGTATTATGCATAGAATCATGCATAGTGTAAGGAAAACACAAACTAAACAGACTGCAGGCAGAGTCTGTCAATGATTACACTAGACAGCTGAAATGCAGTGAGATGAAGCAAAGAGTGCAGTTGGACATTGCGATCTGTTCTTCTCTCTGTGTTAAATGTAAGTGTTGCTGTGGTTAGGTTATTATCAGCTCTGATAAATTATGAGGTTTATCAGAGCTTCTGCTCCAACATCACCTTTGGCCCTCCACATACAACATCATCTTTGAGCCGTAGATGAATTAAATGCGAGTGTGAGCGCGCGGTACCGCTGCCGTTGTGAAACCATGTGACAACAGCACAATATTTTATGAAAATCACTGCAGCTTCTGAAAGAGATCCAGAGAGTGAGTCATATTGACTCTGTGTCGGACACAGTCTCTGCTGGGGTATCTGATTCAATGAACAGACATGGAAGAGGACTGGATTAGATGGCAGCTTTCAGAATTCTTAAACACAAATAAGGAACTGTGATCCAATGCCGAAACCCCCGCACACATAAACCAACCAGAAACTTTTCATTAACCCGAACTAAGCAGCTCAGACATTAACACAGAGAAAGACTGTGTTGTAAAAATGTGAGCACACACTCACACTCAATTGCTGATAAAGTAACTCCAGCTGACTGAGGCCTGAGTGTCTTATCTTATCAAGAAACGATTTGCCAATAAAGAAAAAAAAGTCTGTGTTTGAGTCAACAGAATTTCTTCCTTTGAAGTTAAAAAAAAAAGAGAGAGAAGAATGTCTCCACTGCAAAACTCCCAAATCTATCGCTAAGGTAATCAGCACACATCTCCATGCTCCACTACAGCTCATCGCCACTCCAGCACATTAGAATGAGTGATTGCGGAAGTTGGAAATGGAGATTGGAACAAGTGCAGGAGACTCTTTACAGTGCATCAGTGTGATGCTCGGAACTCGAAGCATGCACAAAGTCTACTCTCAGCTGTAGGTAATATGAGATTTTATATCACAACATTACACACAAACCCACATGAGTGTGTTTACAATGCAAAAAATGCAAACCTAAGCTTATTCTGCATACATACACACACACACACTCACTGAAAGGACAAACAATGACCCTGTCCTTTGGTCCACACACACATGCACACAGACGCACACACATGCTTCCCTTTTATGCCTTAGTGAGGACATCTAATTGACATAATGCTTTCCTTAGCCGCTCATCCTAACCCTAACCATCAAAAATGAATGCCTAACCCCAAACCTCAGCCTAAACCTAACCATAACCTAACTGTAACCCTGACACTAAAACCACATTTTGACCCTCAAGCTTGTGGGAAATGTTGGTTCCCACAAGCATAGTCCTCACATAGTGGTATAAGTGTGAACACACACACACATGCACACTCAAGCACTTTCACACACACACACACACAGGAACAAACACAGTATATATAAAGGGCTGGGCGTCGCACTGCCTCTCTCTCTCTGCTTAACAAACACACGTTACAGTAAACTCCTGCCTTCAAACGCACACCAGTCAAATATGCCTGCAGATTACAATGGACGTTGGGAGATGGTGAGCAATGACAACTTTGAGGACGTCATGAAAGCCCTCGGTAAGTCACGCTCATGCAACATCTGATACGGCATAGAACGAGACAATTTGGCTTGACAACTTTCTTTAAAAAACCAACCCAAAAACACACACTGTAGCTTACTGTAGCTCAGTTACAGTGCTGTAATTAAAAGCAGCCAAATAGACAGGAAGGTCTGGGCAGGAAATCTAGCATGTGTGTGACAGAAAAGATGAGAGAGCAGCAGCGTGAGAGACAGATGAAGACAGTGGAAAGAGGAAGGGAAAAAAAAAGAAGAGTGCTATGGCACTGCTTCATTTCCTCATTGAGCTGCTGTCAGGCCGAGTTAACCTCCACTCTGTGAGCGGTTGCCGTCTGTTACGACGCCAAATAAATATTGATTCACTCCTTTCTGCATTTTCATCCTCCACGATCCGCAGAAATGGAAGACAGATTCCGACCCTGGATCAGGCAGCGGGCCAGCTCGTCAATTTTTAAAAAAGGAGGGGAAAAAAAGGCTCTCCTTCCTTTTTTTTTTTTTTTTTTTTTGGCGTGTCGTTGATCAGGCCCAGAAACACTTTCATTATTCACGACTCTATCTGCAATTCATAAAACAACCCTCAGTACACTCGGCTCACACGAAATCCAGGAAATCCTCAATGCCTCCGCCTCATTTCCATCCAGCGGATGGGAAAATGACATCCTTATGGAAATGGGTCAAAAATATCATTTAGATGGGTAAATATAGGGACCTCATCTGTAAGAGTGATGGGAAGAAATTGAATTTTCACTTTAGGGCAAATGGGATATGAATATCTAAACGGTCAGGATGGGTGGTTCTCTTTGGCAGAGCCCAAACTGAGCAGGATGGAAAACTCATTTAGGCCTCTTCTGACTGGGAGCAAGGTCATTTTTAAAGGGTAAACAAAACTGTCAAAAGGACCGGTAGGAGAGGAATCATAATAAGTGGCCTGTGGTGTTGTGTGTATTTCTGTTGGATGTGTGCTTTGGGTGTGTGCACGCACACACAAAGACAGGACAGAATATTCTTCACAGACCCACAAAGAGTTGATGCCTCAGCTGACACTGCGTTCACTTTTTGCATCCCTGCATGCTTGCAGACATTGACTTTGCCACCAGGAAGATCGCCGTCCACCTGCATCAGACGAAAGTGATAGTCCAGAATGGAGACAAGTTTGAAACGAAGACCCTCAGCACCTTCCGAAACTACGAAGTCAACTTCACCGTGGGTGAGGAGTTTGAGGAGTACACAAAGGGACTGGACAGCCGAAAGGTCAAGGTAGGACTGAATTTGTTTACTCCTAGAACCTTTAACAAGTGCACCTTGTGTTGAACCAGTGCTGCATTAAGCGCTATGTCTTTGTCCTATATTGTGGTGTAACAGACACTAGTTACCTGGGATGGGGATAAGCTGGTGTGTGTTCAGAAGGGAGAGAAAGAAAATCGTGGCTGGAGACACTGGATTGAGGGAGACCTACTACACCTGGTAAGAAAAAATGTGACATGCTGGGAAATTTCCACCATATATTTAGATGTTCTTGTGTTTTGAATCTTTCAAAAGCAGTTAAACTTACTTATTGGAATCTTATCCATTAAGTCAGTTAAATGTCATAACAAAGATAATGAATCACTATCTAAAAAAAAAAAACACACACATGCGGGCTCAGCCTTGTTGTGTAATCTAGACAGACATGTGTTGCACCATGTTGGACTTTAAGTCTGAAAGGTCTGTACCCTCTCTTCTAGGAAATCCACGTTCTCGACAAAATCTGCCACCAAGTATTTAAGAAGGCGAAATAACATGGGAATGAAGTTCAACTGCACAAAACCGTCTGCTGTGTCTTTTTTTAAATGTGATTATGGAGAGCTGCAATAAACTGATGTCACACAACTTTTCTAATTTACTGTGATTTTGATATGATATATTTTGTTTATTAAATGCATACAAAAAGTGAAGTCCAACCTTGCTCATAAATCCAGCACTGGATTAAAAAGTACAGGCTTTTAAACACATAAAGAGTGTATGTTTTATACATTAAAATTAACTTTTATAATTAAAGGTTTCTCTGATATGTAAGTAATGTATGTAATAATGTCTGATGTCTAAACTATAAACAGAGAAATACTAATTATACACGCCAGAATGAATAAAGGAATGCGTCAGAAAATAACGTTCATCTGTTCTTCTGTCAGACAAACGTAAATAAAAGACCAAAATAATAATTTGCTTGGAAATTATTGAGAACCAAATGCGGAGGTAAAAGTGTACAAGTGATGCCGTGTGTTGCCTCTACAGGAAATGCGCAAGAATCCACGTTGGAGGAAGCTGTGTAAATCACACAGCGGCTGAGATATACAGGCCGGAAATTTCTGTCTTCACAAGAAAAGATTTGTGCTGTTGCTGAGATATACGAATTGAAATGTGTTTGAAATGGTGCTCACCCCCAAAAAACAGGAAGCAGCACATATATAAACCTGCATACATACTGTAAAACGGGATACAATCCCGTATAGCCCACTGTAACTTGTTGAAATATCTACCTTTATATATTTAGTGTTGCATTAATTACTATACCTAATAGTTAAAAAATTATTCACAGCTAATGTGTAGCTCTGATAACGAGAAAACCTGTTATAAAATGGTGTTTTCTGAACCATATTTATATGTGCAGAACAACTGCTAGCTTAGCTTTCCTAAGTGTGAACACGCAGAGCTAACATCTTGTTATTGAAGAAATACTAGTCACTTATTTGCACTAACGCCTTTAAAGCTAGCAAAATCTACAAGACGGGTGTTTATACTGAGCCTTTTGGTTCTATATTCGGCTTTATAACGCTGTTGAAATTTGGGCGTTCAGGCTTATTTTGGAAAATCTGTACCGGAGGTAGTTTTTGAAGCTCCTCGAACTTTCTTACAGAAACTTCCTCCGCTGAGCTCCACAGGCAGGCAGCAGTGAGGCCCGTATTTACAGTGGACAGCACCGCAGAGACTCACCGATATGCAGCCATGGTAGGTACAACTGAAACACTAAACTGTTTATGTGACTATTCTTTAAGAAAAAAATTATAGTTATTTCGTTTGCAGTTTTTTTAAGGGTGTTTGTCAGCGACATAATAATTGTGACATAATAACTTGGAATAACTTTGTATGTCTTAAACTCTCAAAATGAGACAATGAAAAGGCTGAAAAAAACACTTTTGTCCTTTGGTTGTTGGATATTTTGAACATGCATTCGTAATACTAAATAAGCAGAGTTATGCAAAGACTTGAAAGGACTTGTTGTTATGGAGCAGGCATGCATATAAAATCTGGTATGGGAAGTATCAACAGACACAACCCCACCCTCAAGGTAGCCAAAAACTGAAATCAAACCGCAGCTGAGACACGCTGATTACTGACAAAATTGGATGATTAAAGCTTACTTTAACATATTTTTGCAGCGTTATTATCTCTTTGTCTTTTCACTCTTATTCCACAGCCTCTGAGACTGGACATCAAGCGGAAGCTGACAGCTCGGTCAGACCGGGTGAAGAGTGCGGACCTGCATCCCACTGAGCCGTGGATGGTGGTCAGCCTCTACAGCGGCACCGTGGTGGTCTGGAACCATGAAACACAGGTCACCATCCATCTCTGCACATTTGTACAAAGCCGTTTGATCTCCCCCCTAATCGCTCGTTAAGTGGTTACATGAAATAACCAATCTTTTCATCTTCCTTCATCTGTGCTTTTGATGTCTTTAATGGTGATGTAGTCTGACAGCATGGGGCTTTTTTCTGTGTGTAGACGATAGTGAAAACATTCGAGCTGTGTGATCTGCCTGTAAGAGTGGCCAAGTTCATAGCCAGGAAACACTGGGTCATCACTGGAGCCGTAAGTATTTGAATTCATGTGCACTGCTGATTCAATTCTTTTAATTTTACTGTATGTTTTTTGTGCAAATACCAATACAAATGTGACAGTTTTAAGGTTAAAAAGAATGAGTCTGTTGTGTGTAATGTTGGCTTTGGTAGATGACCCGTTTCTAATTGGCAGAGAAATTCAAATCTCTTTGACTGTCTGCAGGATGACATGCAGGTCCGAGTGTTTAACTACAACACGCTGGAGAGAGTTCACTTGTTTGAGGCTCACTCTGACTACATCCGATGCATCGTTGTCCACCCCACACAGCCGTACATCCTCACCAGCAGTGGTAGGAAACTGCCACCACACATACTCACATAAACACAAATGCTCTCATATAAAATGACCTCATGCATGTAACTTTTTAAACTTTGCAAGCTGTAATCATCATCATCATGTTTTTTCCTGCTTCTTGTTTACTGCCTCTCTACGCTCTTCTCTCCTTGCCTTTTCCCTCACCCCAACCAATCACAGCAGTTGGATGGCCTTCCCGTGTCTGGCTTTTTTTTTGTGATGTGGTGCTACGGTGTGTAAATAAAATTGAATTGAAATTACGTTTCTCGTGTTTCCGTGTTTTTAGATGACATGTTGATCAAGCTGTGGGACTGGGACAGAAAGTGGTTGTGCAGTCAAGTGTTTGAGGGACACACTCACTATGTCATGCAGATTGTCATCAACCCCAGAGATACCAACCAGTTTGCCAGTGCCTCGCTGGACAGGACTATTAAGGTATACACATACGCACACACAAGCACACCTAGCGAATACAGGAAAGTAATTGTGAGAACAGGCAAGGAAGACCGCTGTAAGCCATGAAGAAATGAAAGTGTTTTTCAGTTTAAATGAAGTTAAAGGAGACAAAAAGGAGGAACACACAGGTGTAGTTTCTCTACAGGAGGAAGAAAAGGGGGATTGGTGGTCTTCATTTTGAGAAACACTACTGCTAACAATACAATTTAAGCGAGACAGGAGCAGTAATTTGCTGACATTATTCAGTTGCTCAGTGATAAACAACTCAATTGTTGTACTGTAGGTGTGGCAGCTGGGCTCCAAGACTCCCAACTTTACTCTGGAGGGCCATGAGAAGGGAGTGAATTGTATTGATTACTACAGTGGCGGAGACAAGCCGTACCTCATATCAGGGGCTGATGATCGCCTGGTCAAGATCTGGGATTATCAGGTTATCACAAACACACTAGACTGCTTTTTTCTTCCTTTCTGCACCCTAAGATCAAAACAGTTTATTGCCATAATTATGTAACATCTATTATACAAAACATGCAAAGAGGTACACAAAAACAATAAATACAATAACAACACACTACAGTATTAAGAAAATATTTCCACCATAACCTGTATATAAAAGATGGACATATTACCCACTGTTATTTTCAAGCCTTCAGTTTGATCATTTGTAAAAGTTTCATGTCTAACAGTAACTAGCTTGGTTAGCAAGGAGTATCCAAACACTGTACATAGTGCATGACAGATACAGCTACCTGCTAATTCGGGCTAATATATAAATAAAATATTAGAATTTCACTCAACAAAAAAATGTAATGCAGAGATTTTTGGATGGTCTGATTATCAACACTATAAAAAACACTGTCACTCAAATGGTAACACTGTTATCTTTCCTGCATCAGTGTAACTCCTCTTTCGTCTATAAAAGCAAACATGGAAAATGATGGACAAAAGGCCAAACTCTCATCGCCACTCCAAAATAGATAATCAAGCACTATCAAGTCTTTTGATAGTTTCATATTTGAAGTTAGCTCTCTGAGCCAGCGGTGATGTTGCTGCACTGTATAAAAGTATCCACAATCTACCAGAGTGTGTAAAAATATGAAAAACATGTAGTGCTGACTCAAGGTTAATGACAGCTTCAACTCAAGGAGTCTTTCATCTTTGGTTTCCATCTACAACATTTGGGCAAAGCTGCTTTCAGTTAAGGCGGCTGAGGTGTGTGTGTGCATCAGAGTGTGAAGCACAGATTGCAAATATAGTCTGAAGACGTAACTGAAAGACTCTCAGGTCTGCCTTAAACTGTAGCCAACATTGGTACCCATAGCTGAAATTTCCTTGCCCTGATGAAGTGTTTGTTTTCTTTGGGACTGTTGATAGTGATTCTCATTAGCTAAAAACTAGACACAATTAAGTGCTATCATTATTACTTTGGACATTAGGGGCCTTTGTATTAGATTTTTTTCTATATCTGGTACAATTTATGTATGTACACTGTACATGCTAAAAAGCAAAATAAGAAAAAGGCTTAAAGATAAACACCTTTTATTCTAAATACAGCTAAATCAGGACAGTTAAATAACTCATATGGTTATTATGAATGGAAAGCAAAACCATATCTATGTAACCATTTCTATTTCTGCTGTTCCCATTTCATTTTGCAACAGTAAGAGGTGCATCTGTAGTAGAAGTAAACGTAAGAAGGTGTTATATAGCCATTATATGCAAAGTCGTTGTCCTTCAGCGTTGATATAGTCAATTCACACACGTTCATGTGCATTCATATAAAAAACTTACCACATGTGAAAAGAACAAGAAACAGTGTGTGCTTTATCTCCCTAGAACAAAACGTGTGTTCAGACTCTGGAAGGTCACGCTCAGAATGTGACCTGCGTCAGCTTCCATCCGCAGCTGCCAATCATTCTCACAGGCGCTGAAGATGGTGGGTCAAACATTGGTACATGTTTCTGCTCCCAAATGGGCACGGCATCTTGCTTAAAGTTTGACCTTTTGTCCTTTCCATAGGCACTGTTCGTGTGTGGCACTCCAACACCTACCGGCTGGAAAACACACTCAACTATGGCATGGAGCGGGTGTGGTGCATATGTGGCCAGCCCGGCTCCAACAGTGTGGCTATAGGCTTTGATGAAGGCAGCATCATCATCAAGGTAGTTATATTTGTAGTTTTCTCACAGATTTTCTGAATGGACTTTTTAAGTAGTGGCGTGGTTAAGATTCAGCTGATGATGTAACATCTCTGTCCTCCATTTCTTCATATACCTTTCTCTCTTGTTTCCCTTTATTATTCTTAATCCTTCTTCATCCACTCCCTCTTTGTTTCAGATTGGTCGAGTGGAGCCCGTCATGTCCATGGACTCTAGCGGGAAGGTCATCTGGGCTCGTCACTCTGAAGTGCAGCAGGCCAACCTAAAGGCACTGGCAGAGACTGAGATAAGGGATGGAGAGAGGCTCCCTCTGAGTGTGAAAGACCTGGGAAGCTGTGAGATTTACCCCCAGACAATCAGACACAGCCCTAATGGGAGGTAAAGCGCCAGGCTTTGGGTGGAAACAGCATGAGGTTTTGACTAATCTTTCTTTTTCTTCTAACCAAAACATGACCGTTATTAAAGTGTAAATTAGACTTGAACTGGATTTATGTCTAACTGCAGTGTGATTGTGTAATGCCTATGATTGTTTCAGTGCAGGTAAGATAGTGGCAGCCTGCGTGCTCACGGAGTCTTTGGGGTAAAAATCTTAAAGTATAATTTGATAATCATGTGTGTAATTTGTATATTTGCACCCTGACAGATTTGTAGTGGTGTGTGGGGATGGGGAGTATATCATCTATACTGCCATGGCTTTGAGGAACAAGAGCTTCGGCTCTGCTCTGGAGTTTATCTGGGCACATGACTCTTCACAGTAAGTCTTTACCTTTACATCAAGGCTCAGCATTTTAGAAAATGTACTTTGTGCTGACTTAGATAAGAAAACCAATATCACACGTATGCTAAATATGCAGAGGCTGATTAGCTCAGAGTAAATACTGGAAACAGTAAACACTGTAAAAAGTTGCAGTTTTATAGGGTGAGTGGTACAGCCCAATTTCCAAAAAAGGTCTGAGGACTGAGTTCATTTTTAGGGAAGACCTAGCTTGTTTCAGCAATGCAAATCTTAATCTATTTACAGAAGTGTTGCTTGATAGTAAAAGAGTCTAGGTGTGTAAATGGGCCTGTTTGCAAGATAGAACTATCGCCCATTAAAACCATTTGGCTCATTCTGAAATAAGAAATATGAAGAAGGAGGCTCTGTTGAGCAGCTAAATATCTATATTTTACATCAAGAATTGAAATATATTTGGCTTTCAAAAATCTACATCATCAGTTCCCCCCCCCCCAAAAAATCACAGAATATTCTTAATGTGATGTAACTCAGGGGTAATAGTAACATCAAATGAATTTAACCTTAAGATAAAATCAGACTTCCTTGATTCAAACCCTGATATGTTGCCTTGTACTTTTTGCAAATGAACATAGCATTCATATGATTTGCAAAGTGTTCTTGCTCTCTTTTTTTTTTTTTTACATTTTACACATCATCCAATTTCAAATCAGTTCAATTTAGTTTTATTTGCTAAATCGCAGTAGCCTTAAGGCTCTTTTGTTATTGTAAGGCCCTACAGCAATACAGCAAAAAGTCCAGTTATCAGACAACCCCCCAGCGAGTAAAGCACTTGGCAACAATCGTAAGGAAATACTCCCTTTTAACAGGAAGAAACCCGGACAATCAGGGAGCGGCAGCCATCTGCTGAGACTGTTTGGGGATAAAGAGAGAGCGAGAGGACAAAAACATGCTGTGAAGAAGAGCCAGAGATTAATAATAACTAATGATTCAATGGAGAGTGATTTTTTTAAAAACAGGATTTCAACTTGCTCATCGAACTGTCAACATAAACCCAAAATATGTACTCGTGAAAATGGTCAAAGGACTGATTAGCCTTACTGTAAGTCCCCTGTGGTCTGGTACATTATCATTATTATTATTATAAATATTGTTATAGGTATGCAGTCAGAGAAGGCAACAGTGTGGTCAAAATATTTAAGAACTTCAAAGAGAAGAAGACATTCAAACCCGAATTTGGAGCTGAAGGTGAGTTTCATGTCACGTTTTTGTTTGAATTTGTTGAATATATTTTTGAGAGCATATGTGTGAGTATCTGTGCCTATGTATTACTATCCTGCATCCCTACAGGCATCTTTGGTGGCTTCCTACTAGGAGTGAGGTCAAACAGCGGCCTGGCCTTTTACGACTGGGAGAGCTCTGAATTGATTCGGCGTATTGAGATCCAGCCTAAACATGTCAGCTATAATCCAATGAGCACTTTATCAGCTTAAATCGATACTAAATTTACTACTGTGGCTTTCTAATAAGAGTTGTTTTTTTTTTTTTTAATTGTGTCTTTAGGTCTTGTGGTCTGACTCTGGGGAGCTCGTCTGTATCGCTACAGATGAGTCTTTTTTCGTGCTGCGCTACCTACCAGAGCGAGTGTCCACAGCCCAGGAGTCTAAAGAAGGGGTGACAGAAGATGGGATAGAGGCTGCCTTTGAGGTCAGAGACTCACATGGTTAATTGTCTAGACTATTTAAGTAAAAATTTGACATCTTAGAAGAATTCTGTTACCTTTTTAGATCATTTTTCAATCTCTTTTATGTCTGTCCTCTTTTTCCTGCTGGTCAGGTGCTGGGGGAGGTCCAAGAGGTGGTAAAGACAGGGGTTTGGGTGGGAGACTGCTTCATCTACACCAGCTCTGTTAACAGACTCAGCTATTATGTAGGAGGAGAGATAATCACCATTGCTCACATGGACAGGTAAACTCACAAATATGTATCTGCAAATCCATTGTTTGTTTTTTTCCTTGGCATATTCATAAATGTTCCTGTAATGCTGCAAAATCTGTTGTATGGCTATGAATCCATTTAGTGTCTTATTTCACGTTTTATTTCCACTTGCTATCCAGTAAATTCAAAACTACAGACAGTCTTTCTTTGGTGTAGGACGATGTATCTGCTGGGCTACATCCCGAAGGATGACCGTCTCTACCTCGGAGACAAGGAGCAGAACGTTATCAGCTATTCGCTGCTGCTTTCTGTGCTAGAATATCAGACAGCTGTCATGAGGAAGGACTTCAGCACTGCTGACAAGGTTCTACCCACGATTCCCAAGAAGCAGCAGACCCGTGTAGCCCGCTTCTTGGAGAAACAGGTATGTTTGCATGCCAGCTTTTACCTTGAAAATCCATCTTTGTGCTTCTCTTGCTCCTTTGGCTGAGTAAAAATTCAGGACTTGGACGAATGCATAATTTACAGAACATGAGGCAGCCAGATGGTGTGATACCTCTGGGCAGAATTTCTGTGTGTTTCTTATAAAACATATTTATCATGCAAGGGTTTTGGCTTCTCACGCAGTCACTTTTCCCCTATTCATATTGCTTCATATATCTAGCCTCTACTGCTGGCCATCACAACGAGTGAGAAAGGATAATATACAGAATATAGACTAATGACATTGTTATTTTGTGCTGTGTAGGGCTTTAGGCAGCAGGCCCTCGCTGTGTCCAATGACCCAGAGCATAAGTTTGAACTTGCTCTGCAGCTGGGAGAGCTCAAGACAGCCTATCAACTGGCCCTGAAAGTGGAGGTGAGAGCCTGGACAATTTCTATAGCTACTAAATGTTAGCGGCTATGTAAGGATGTCTTTAGACACTGTGCTACTCTGAGCTAAATGCTAAGGTTAGCTAAAGCTACAGAGTGGAATAGTTGTGTGGTGTATATTCACATAAATAAATCAATGATTATTGGTTTTGTTTTTTAATCAACAGCTGTGTAATTTGATGCATAATGTGCGCAGAATCAGTTATTTCCCCTATACAAGCCTGAGAGTGTGAGTCACAGACCCGGTGTCCCTTATTTAGTAACCGCTTTACAGTGTTTTGTTGTCGAGGTTCATGCCTTTCGTCCTGAGATAATCCGCTCTCCTGTCTCTTTGGCACCTCTGCTCGCGGGGGCCGAGTCAGTCAGAACAAAAATGGAAGCAGCTGGCAGAGCTTGCAACTACAAAGTGCCAGTTTAGCTTGGCTCAGGAGTGTCTCCACCAAGCTCAGGATTATGGGGGATTATTGCTTCTGGCCACCACTTCAGGCAACGTTGACATGGTGGGCCAACTGGCTGAGGGGGCAGAGAGAGATGGGAAGACCAACGTGGCCTTCCTCACCTACTTCCTGCAGGGGAGGTTAGTGCGTCAGGGGTAAAGAGCACAAAGGAGGTTTTTAAACTGACTTATGTGTTTAAACTTTATTCTTTTTTTCTGTCACCACCATCTTTGTTTTTTGTACTTGCTCAGAGTGGACAAATGTCTGGACCTTTTGATCAAAACAGATCGACTGCCAGAAGCTGCATTCCTGGCAAGAACATATGTGCCCAGCCATGTCTCAAGGTAATGCTGCTTCTAATGAATACCTAACATATGTCCAAGTGTAACACTCTTTGCCTGTGGGCCTATCTGTTTGTGTCCTGAAGAACCTCTGCATGTATCACTTGGTGTGCCTGTTTTCCTCCCAGCTGTTGAAATAATTACTAGTCTGAATCAGAGTTTTTAGAAAAATGTTCTTTCTTATTAATTAGAATTTCTATAATATATTATGCATCACTGTGGCGATGTGTGTGCCTCTCTTCCTACAGGGTGGTGAAACTCTGGAAGGAGAGTCTTTCCAAGGTCAACCAGAAGGCAGCAGATGCTCTGGCTGACCCCAGCCAGTACACCAACCTGTTCCCTGGCTTCCAGCAAGCCCTGCTGGCTGAGCAGTACCTGAAGGAGACTCATGTCGGGGTCAGACCTGCTTCAGAATACCCTCTCATTACGGTCAGTGCGAGAGTCAGTCGAACTGTATTTTCAAAGTTAAATCAGCATCTAAGATTTTTTGCATTTTCTGCAAAGCTCGTTGGACTATAGCTGTTCATACTTTGAACATAAGTTAAGAGTCTGAGATCCCACTTTTCCCATTTCTTTGGTTCTTTAGCCAAATGAAGAGCGCAGTCTTCTGGAGGAATCAGCAGGTTTTAGACCTAAAGGAGAAATCACTGACTCAGAGGTGAGAGCACAGTCTTCATCTCTACACATGCTCATTCAGTCAGTGCAGTCAAACAGGCTGCTCCTGTGTGTCAATAAGTGCCTAAGCTACTCTAAATGTCACAGCAGCATACCAGTCTTTTTTAATTTCCTTCCATGGTATCTTGACTACAGTGTAATATCCTAACCTAATATGTGTTTTTAGGGTAACAATATAAGCTAATGGATGATAACAAAAATGAAAAAGATTTGTAAAGATTTGTAATGGTTCACTGTGAGCAGCGAAAAAAACATTCAAATTTACCACTGATTCAGCTCCTTTCAAACTTGACTGTTCTCTTTCATGCAACACGTCTGGCACACGGTGCATGAAAGAGAACAGTGTTGCTCCTTCTGTAAAACTTAAATGTAGTATCCAAATTTTAAAAAAGATATAACTTAAATAGATAATTAAAGCCAGCGGTTGAGCAAACACTGCAACTCCTTTTCTGAGTTTGATCGTTCTGTGTTTTCTTTAAAGCAAGGGGCGGAGAGCATTAGTGAGGCCACCAGTGTGCCAGCAGTAACAGAAAGTAAATATTCAAAAGTTGCAGTAGTGGAGGAGGACACTTCAGTAAAACAAGAGTCGACTGATCCCGTTTCAGCAAGTGAAGAAGAATCTGTCCTGAGAGGAGCAGACCCTTTTCCTACTGCTGCTACAGAAGAACAAGCAGTGTCAGAATCAGGCGAGTTTAAAGCAGTGGAGGTGGGCACTAAAGCAGACACTCTAGTCTCTGTAGAGGAAATCACCAGGATTCCTGATGAGGAGGCTGAGATGGTACAGCTCAGTCCTGTGGAAGATGTCAGGTCATGTGTGAAGAAAGACGTTCAGGAATTATCTTCAGAAACTGAAGCTCCACCTGCTGTCTGTGCTTCTGAAACAGAAACCACTCTAACAACACAAGAAGCACCAAATGAGGCATTAGCAGCTGAGGATGTCCTGGTTAGCGCTGGTCTGACGGACGATAATGAAGTTACGTCCGAGCCTATAGCACCTGGGGAAATGATCATTCATCAAGATCTGGAAAAAGATAGGATCGCCTCAGAAGTTCCAGGTTCAATGGGTGGAGCAGCAGAAACAGAAGAGACTCCTGTTACGTGCGAACTTGTTGCAGAAACAGCACCTTCACACACAGCAGTGGAGGAGCTCATCTCTTTTGAAACCGCAGATGTTCCAGCGCTGGACGCAGCTGTCCAGATTTTACCGGAGCTGACCCTGGATCCTCTGCTAGACTTGCTTGAAGATGCAGCGCCAGTACTGAAGCCTGTCCCAGCACAAGAACGAGAACAAGAGAAACAAACTGGAGAACTTCCAGTAAAGCCTCCTGTTATTCACAAGGCTGAGCCAGAGGTTTTAGCCCTCACTGTAGCTCATGCAGAAGGTCATGCAGCAGAAGAGGAAGGTCCTGAAAGACCTGAGGTACTGCCAGAGGACCTCGAGGCGAATAATGAGGTAAACAAAGGTTTATAAGTTTGTTACACTAATATTGCTATGAATGTTAAATCCAGAATTGTTTTGCCTTACACCTGTAGGCTCTGGACAACTTTGACCTGGAGGATATTGACACCACAGATGTCAACCTAGATGAAGAGTTCCTGGGTGAATAGAAACTAGCCTTTCACAAGCCATTTTTTTCTGTTCAGTGATGCGAGTTTCATAAATCAAAACAATTAAGACTGAAGTGAATATTATTAGGCATTTGCATTCTTAGTTCTGGCCTAAACCCTTATCCAAACACGACAAAAAACAGCCTCCCAACTGCCCAGATCCCAGACTAATCGAACACAATGGAATAAGCCCAACCCACCTACCTTGCAGCCCACAAATCCCAAAGTATCTGCTCTCGATGCACGATGCCAGACACCGTGAAAACCCTTAGGAAGCCCGTCTATGCTTCAGTGGGACAGAACTGTTTTGCTGGTTTCCAGCCACAACTCTGATGAGACCAGGCTGTATTTTAACACTATCTGCATATGCAGAGTATTAAAGCCAAAAATGTACTGACAGACAAATAGGCATTTCTTCATTGTTGCTAGTGTGCCTTTATGATTTTATTTTAAATGGTTCGTATCTTTAAATAAATACTTTGGGGTTTGCTGTGTCTCAAATCTAAGTGCTTCACGCTTTACTTGCTGACAGAAACATAGCCTTCATAGGAAAGAATCGCAATACCTCTCCCACAAGCATCACAGCATTTTATCTAAGACTCCAAATTACCATTTCACCGGTTCAATGCGAGTTAAATGTTCCGCATGCAATTCCACTTTATGTATACACCACGTCATGCAAACCCTCCATTTGGTTCTTCTCATTGTCTTAAATGATAAAGTCATAATTTTATTTTTAAGCTTATTAAATGATCAAAAACATACAAAATGTTGCTGTTGTTAGTGTGTTTAACATGGTTTTCTGCTTCCTTTGAAATAAAAACTGCATGCTACTGTGACTGTTTTCTTGGCGAGTAAATTAAAGGAGCTTCCACAGTCTCTAATATAATTCCAATAACATGACACTCAAGTACAAAGGCTGTATTTATTTTATGTACATGATATAAGCAGACATGAAGCTTGATTCAAAGAACCACACTGACAATTTCTCCGCATAACAAACAAACATCTTAAAGTATCTCACAAGACGATGCAGCCAACTCTTCAAATTGTTGGTTGTGATGTGAAAAGGTTTCCTTTGGAGAAGCATATTTTACTCTTGGCCCAACACAAAAACAACAAACTGTCATATTACATGAGAGGCAGGATTTCCAGACGTTATGTATAGCATTTCTCTATTGAGGTATGGACCAATCATGAAGCAGAGCCCTCAACAGCAGTCTGTTCATAGGCCTGCAGAGCCAGCTCGATGTAGCCCGACCTTTGGGAGTCCCTCTGGGCATAGATCTGCAGGGGCACACGTGAGTAAATGGAAAAAGAAAAGAGATCAATTACACTAAAGTGCAGTCAAAGTGCAATCACAGTATTAATAGTATTATTACTGGACGTAGTAAACACAGCTAAGATTGCGTTTCGAAATCAACTGTGACTAAATGAGAGGCCTTGAATGTAGAAGACAGACACACACCTCCTGCCGCTAACCTTTCACATTAAATGGTTGTCATTCTCAGTGTCTCTCCCCCTTACTTCAAGGCTGAAGGCCTGTGAGAACAAATAAGACCTGATGTATCCTGGACCTGGTCCCTCTATTCCCACTTTAGAGTAAAAACCCAAATGTCTAATGCAGGAAACAGCCTAGATTTGACCTCTTAACAGCTATACTGACTCCTGATTCGCCTCGAACATCCAAAAATACCATTTATGTAAACTAGATCAAATAGCAATACGTTAAACAGACTTCAAATGAACTCAAGTGCCAAACAGAGATACAAATCGGCACATACTGTTTGTCACAGTTCAACTACCTTAAGCAGGTCGGTGCCTGTGGCCTGTTGGCTGGCAGCTTCCCGGGCTGACTCACTGTGGGGGTGGACCATGTGGAACAGAGACACGAGGCTTACAGCATCCTGGAGCCTGGAAACACCAACACACACTGAAGACTCAGATCAGAGCTTTTGCCAGCAGGTACAGCGTACTCAATGTAACTCAATTCTAAAATAATGCAAATGCTTAAAAAAACCTCACAGCTCTCTTTTTAGCATGTCCACTATGAGCCCATCCACCCTACGAACACTGACTAGGTACCAGGCCATGCCTCCGAAGTGTCTGGTGGACCGCAGCAGATCATATTTGCCATGCTTGTCCAAGTCCTCATATGTGGCTGTGTGTACCTAGACACAAAACACATTAAATGAATACAGACCTTGATGATTTAGCTCATTTGTAATTAATCAGCACAACACTCATTATGCACATTTTTTCACTTCATATCAAATGAAGCAGAGAACATATAAAAAGACAGAAAATTTCACAGCATAACAAGTTCTAGATAGAGTTTACAGATCTCAGTGCAGCCAACGATGAGGTCAAAATACCACAAGGTCACTGGTATTTTACCTTGATGTATTCTGAAGAGTCTGGTTCAAACTGGACGAGGCACAAGTCCAACACATCCTCATGGCGGTCCTGGGAAAACACCAACTAATGAAGAGAAAGAGGTTTAAGTGGGTAACAGTGTACTGAGGAAAACCCTCCAGACACAATGACAATGAACAACATGAGGTGATGATCAGTTGTCAGTCATGGTAAATAGCCGTTTTTTTTAAATGGACAGAATAATGTGTAGATCATGATATTATCACAACACTTCACTCGTGATATTTTATTGTGATTTTAAACATTTTGTGATATGCTGAGTTCTGCAATAACATATACTGCGATTTATCTGCAAATTATGGCCTCCAGTGATAAACTTAATCTTATTAATTAAAACAAATGTTGACAAGGTTTTCAGTCTCTTCCACTTGAATGACTTTTATTGTTAGGCACACAGGTGGACCGACATTGTCATTAAAACCTGTCGTAAATGCAGCACCCACCTGTCAAACTGTTTGTATCACATTCTAGTCAAACAACTGAATGCAAATGTGTGAACTGCTGTACCATTACATACATTTAGAATATGAGACAGCAGTCACTCCTCCTCTGAGACAAAATGAGCCATATTAATCACATATGACTCCACTGCCTGCGACTTAATGTAACCCTTTGTGTTCTACACTAACTTTCCTCAGCCTTACAGTTCACTTCTCTGTACAGCCTAGACAGGGCTGCGTCTGTGATAAAACACTGTGACAGTGTCACATATCTCATTCCAGTGGCTTCAGCATGTACCCTATTCTCTTAGCTCACCGTTAACTGTGAGGTAGGTTTCTCATTTCATTCCGGGCCAACTTTCGGGATCAAAAAAGTTTTACTGAATTGAATCATGATAAGTAGGTCAAGTGTTAGTTGTTTTTTGACTGATCTGATTTAACATGAGGTATTTCAGGATAGCGGTGCATGAGACAACTCCTCACGTTTGTAACATTCTCAGAGTATTTCACTTGCATACTGCACCTTTATCCCGGGCTTGTTACAAAAGTAAAAAACAAACAAACATATTTTTCATCTTAATGCAGATTGTGCTTTTCTCATTTCTTTCTCTGATGCCCATTTGTTTATTAATGAACGTTCCTCCTGCATGCTGACAATCATCATAGCTGACCTGGCTAGGAAAACCCCACAGCACCCTCTGGTGGACTACAAAAGGAACTGATTTTACCATTTTGGTACTTAAAAGTTAATTTGTATCTGCAATTTAAATAATAAACTAAAATTTGGTGCCCATGTATGGATACAATGTATCCACGGTAATGCTATACAAGCAGCAATATTCTGAAATACATGAAGTTTGGAAAATTGGGTCCAAACAAGAGTTTTCCCTTGTTAGTCCTGTTAATAGAACATCAGTGTAAACAAGGATTATGCTGACTGTGTGTAAATAAAAAAACAACTTTAAAAAGTAGAGTAGATTACATCAACACATTTTATATCAGAGCAAACATGAGCTACATACTGGGGAAAAATAAATAAATCACAGATCCAACAAATCACAATAATGGCTAATAGTGTTCAGCAAACTGTGACGATGAGCCCAGCAAGCAGAATAAAACGACGCTGGAACAGGCAGACATAAATGGAAGGCAACTATTATTAAACATATTAACTACAGCAGTTCAAGGCCAAGTATCTGCTGTTGGCCAGCACCACACTCTAGTGTAACATTTTCAGCACATGATGTTTTCACTGCGACCAATAAAAAAATAAAAGGGAACAACTCATGGGCACAAAATGAAGCCTTTGTCTACAGAAGGCTGCTGCCGCTTATAAAACCTGAGCTCTGTAAAAGATGCATCGAAGGAGTTTTATGGAATATCATTTAAAAAGAAGAAGAAGAAAGAGAGGTAGGAGAATTCTTAGGTCCTACCTTGAGGTTCTCCTCTTTGAACAGAAGTGGTGCAGTGAGCTTGCGTCCCTCCTTAGGGAAGTAGACCTGGATAAGTCTGTCTCTCTCTTCCCAAGTGGCCTTCCTAAGGATTCCATTAGGTTCCCGTACAACTATGAATCTCTCCTGTTGAAAAGACATACAGAATATATATATGGTATATTTTAGTAACATTCTTGAATCCAAAGCTAAATCAAATTGGTGAGTTTTAGGCAATTAGGGGTAGGGCTAGGCCATATCATACCGGTCACGGTAATACCGGTATAATGTTGGGCAACGATAAGAAAATGAAATATCGCGATAGAATATGGGTGAAACGCACATGCGTTTGTTTTCATATGGCGGAAAAAGCATGGCAGTGACGGAGAATAAGAAGGAAGAAAGCGGGTTGTTGAATGAAACGAATGAACCAGAATTAGTTTGTAAAAATGCTGCAACTTCAGTGATGTGGAACTGGTTTAGCTTTCGTCTGTCAGATACACAACAAAGCACTATTTTTGGTAGAGCATGCTAGCGGGCCGTCGTTATTACCTTGTTTTTTGGAAAATGCGGCACACTTAAAATCAATCCTTTGATTTTTCTGAAAGTCGACAGTGCCCCTTATAATCCCGTGTGCCTTATGTATGAATTCTGGTTGTGTTTACTGACCTTGAAACGATTTTATGTGGTACACGGCGCTCGAACATCGGTCAAATGTTTTAGTACGACTTTGCTAAGCTACGAACCCGCACCGTTTGATGGATTGTCGGAGCATTATGGCTATCGTAGGCAGGAGCCTCGCGGAGTGATACGTACTGTGGTTCAACATAATATTACCGTATTGTGTGTGTGTAACCTCTTTTTAAGTTTTGTGGATATTATACATGTTTATGCTGAGGATATGTCGGCTAATTTCCACTGGAAATGCCTTTTGGTTAAACTGTCAGTGAGGAATTTGCACTGTTAAACTTTAATGCACATAAAAAACAGCTGTTTGTTTAAGTGAAAATACATTGATGTTTTTTTTTTTGCACTAATAAAGTTGTGGAGTTGTAAAGTATTTTGTCTAGTGTCAATTATATCGTCAGTTATATCGTTATTGCACATTTTCAAATGTATATCGTGATAAATATTTTTGGTCATATCACCCTGCTCCATGTATATATTATGGAAGCTCACATCAGTCAGGACCCCTATAATAAAAAGCCTGTATTTTATATATGGCAGTCTGGCACAGAGCAGGTACCAATAAAAGCAATAGTGATGGTGACTAAATGAGAAGCAGCATGAAAAGATGAGCTGGGGTGGAAGTGGATTGCAAAGTCACTTGCAGATATGACGCAAATATAGCTTAAAGAAAATAAAACGGAGCATCCTATACGAGAGTCGCACGTTGGATATGTGGAAGGGTAACTACTGCTCTGCCAGGACTGCAGCTGATCGACTTGTGGAAGGCAACTAATACCCACTTACGCACACACACACACACACGCACAAAGCAAGATGTGTGTACCCTGTGTGGAATATTATAGGTGATGTCTGTAAAGGCGTATTTAGCTGTGTCCATGCCATCCAGGATCTTATCCTCACAGAGCACATCGCTGATGGGCTTCCTCTCTTGCAACACAAGGGGCATCTGCAGCAGCTTTTTAGCTCGCTCTTTGGCTAACTCGACTGCCTAGAATCACAAAAAAAGGATTGGATGAAACAAAAGCAACACCAACATATGTAAGAATGTATGCGATCAAAAGGGGTGGACTCTGTAACACTTCATCAACAGGGCACCTGTTCCAGCTGTTCATCCGTCATGAGTTTATATGTGGGTGGCTTCAGCTCCTGCTTAATTGGTCGGTACACTTTCTGCAGGTCCAGGCCTGTAATCCTGGTGAGGATGTCCTGTACAGCTGAATCGGTGAATTGGGGCTTTGCATGGTCTGTGGCAGCTGCAGAGAAAGACATACTAGTTAATGAGTTAAATAATTTACGAAGTCTGGCTTGGTGACAGTTATGTTTAACTGTAGATTGTTTACTTTCCAGACGAACTTAGCTTGTATAGCATCATTCATTGGGATTAGCAAGCATCGACTATACCGGCCAACACCTCCAAATACAGCGGCTTGTAAAAGAAGCTAAGCCTTTACATGCTGCACATAGGTGCCGAAAGGCAGAGCGACAATAAAGCGTCCGTGAGCGTTTGTCACCGTACCCCAACTGCTGAGCCCAACGAGCTACAAGGTCAGCGTTACAGCGAAGAAAAAGCCTGAGCTGCAGTCATGTTACCAGCAATAAAACGCACCTTTATCTTGTGTTTCACTACAAAAAGTCCTCGCGCCAGACCTCGTCAGTATCTGTTTGCTCCTTTGCACATTTTTCACCCTAGAGCAGCTCCGCAACAAGCACCGCGCTGTACCGAGGGCCGCCATCTTTGTTATTACCTCATCTGTGCGACAGGACCTTTCAACCCCCGCCCCCAAGTGATCATGGGATATGTAGTATGTTTACACAACGCTACGAAAAATAAAATAAAATCACCTTTATTTGTTTGTTGCTTTCTCATAGCTTGCGCAGTTTAAATTAATAATAATTAAGCAATTTAAAACTATTTTTTCTTTCGAGTGTTAAACTGTGGCTGTTTAAAAAGAAAAACTTTTTTAATTTGTTGTTTTTGGGTACTTCATTTTTTTGGTAATTTATTGATATTTAGAACTTGTCTACAACAAAACTTCATTGTAGAATATTAAAAAAGTTAATTCCATTAAAAGATAGTCTCAGTGAAAATATTCACCAGGTGGCACTGTGCTGCCACATGCGGTTAGCCCCTTATGAAAGCGTTCATTTGTGACCTTAGTGTGGGCACTGGAAAATAATTCATTTTCAAAAATGTCGTACCATTGTATCAGATTTTCAAAGACCTTTTTTTCTTGTTTTTTGTTCCTCTTGTGCGGCTTAACTTTGGGTAGCCCACACACATTCCTAACTTGCCATTACAGCGTGTTCTTGAATTGTCTGATAACTGGATAATCTGTCTGGATGATAAATTACACACTCTTCTTCCAGCGAAAAACATATGCTACATGTTTTTCTATGTAAAGATAGGTCTGTCTCAAAAAATACCCATTGGGTGTTTTGAACTTTGTCCTATTTAACACCAAGTTTGTGCAGTGTGGGACTAAAAGAATTAAGTGTAGCTATAAAACGCTAGACGGTCAAGACTGTGTTTTTTTTCTCTTTCCCACTTTTTGAAACATTTTTTTAAAGAATATGAAAACATTTAAGAAATTCTGTTATTTTAACAGACTTTAACGGTGAAAAAAATAGTGTAATATGTTTAAACAAAAAAAAGTTGTCGATGACTTTATAGCTTCAAGAAAATGCATGCTTTCAAATATTTACAATATTAAGAACGAGCAAAAACTGTACAGTGGTGTTTTACACTTTTTTCTTACTTCAGATTAACTGAGACAGTGTGGAAAAATGTGGAAGTTTTGCTTAATGCGGTTGAAAATGCCCTTGAACGGTGGAGCATTTTGGTCACTTGCCCTCTCGAGTATGAGAGGGCAATTAAGGGCAAGTGAGTCAGTTGCTGACACATAAAAATTAAACCACATGTTATCAGCGCTGTATAGACACTCCAGCCTTGACTTAAAAATAAGCAGTGTCTATTGGCCAACCGGAAAAATGAAAAGAAAATATTTTTTAAAAAGAAGTGATAATGAGTAATCATTAGCGGAAGTGCTTGGCTTGGAAATTCAATCCAAGATCTTTTTCAATATAAGTTTCCAAGATATTGTTATTATTTTATTTTTAAGTGAGTCACTTTTATGTTTGAAATAGTTTGAAATTCCATGGTGGCTCTACTTTAGAATGATTAAGGTAATTTCATCATCTATGATGCCTAATTTGTCTAGAGTAATATTAATATTACAAACATATCCTTCTCCACTATTATTAAATATATAAAAGATAGTAAAAACTAACAAATAAAAAAAAGAAATAACACCTCTGAATTATCTTGGGAGGTGCAATTAACGTCTAGTGCTGATTCGAACTAGTTCAGCAGGCCTACCACAAGCTTTCTTTTAATGTTTTTATATATGTTTTTAATGTGATGCATGGTAAAATAGGATTAAAGGGTAATTCTGGCAGGGTTTTTTATACTGTAATATAGTTCTCAGACTGACACTCAATTGTTTCCAAGCTTAAAAAAACTTAAAAAAAAAAAATTAAAAACCCTAAAAGTATCTCTTTAAAAAAATAAAGAAAAAAAGCCTGATTTAATAATAAAGCAACACTTTATTTTTAGAAAATGTCACTAGAGTATGAGAGAGCACTATTATTCCACATTTGGTGCTCTATATTAAAGGCATTAATACCAGAGTAATAGCATTCGATAGTGATAATTCAACAGGGAAGGTGAGATCCAGTCCAGTATTTAACCATCAGTGTGACTCTGTGGCACAGAGGAAAAGGATAAATTAGACTTAGTCTACACAGGCGATACATATGCACAAAGACAGGCATTGAAAAGAAGGCTGTCATGCAGCTGATCTTCACTATGTGAAGACCAGAAACTTTAGAAATAAGTCTTTTCTAGATTTTATATGACGGCACTTCTCTCAGTTTCTCTCTTTCTCTGTTTGTCCTTCAACACTCGTGTGCACAAACGACAGTAGCCACAAGCCCCCCACATGCTACCACAGTCCGCAAACCCAAAATGCAGCCGCTTTACCGTCCACCCGAACACCACCACCATCACCACCGCCACCACATAGCCATGGGGATCATTAATATAACTTCATGCGCCATGCACAAACTCTTCCGCCAGGATCTTAGTTGCCTTCTCCCCCTCGACCCCCTTCCTCCTCCTCCGGGCCCCGACCCCCCCACTAATCTGCAGTGGGATTTAGATATTAGACGGACAGATGGAGGTGTGGTTCAGTTGGTAATGAGGTGAGCAGTGGCAGTGAATCCGGAGGCCCAGACACCGGCGAAACGACGTGTGGATTGAGATGTAAGAGGCCCCTACGCAACCAGATGTACACAGCTGTCACACTGCTGACAGAAAGTAATCCTGCCACCGAAGCACAGAGCCAGAGAGAGACAGAGACAGAATTAGTGTCTATCCCGTGGAGGTTTAAATGACCGCAAGTACTTTTACTTCCAATTCTATCTATCTATCTATCTATCTATCTATCTATCTATCTATCTATCTATCTATCTATCTATCTATCTATCTATCTATCTATCTATCTATCTAT